TCACTGATGCTCTAAATAAGGATCTCTGGCTGTGAAATGGTTAGACCTCAATGACTAACTGAAAATCAACAGTTCAAACATACCAGTCACATCGTGAAGGAACAAAACCCTGTCATCTGCTCGCATAAAGATCGTTCGGCCTAGGAAACCCCAGGAGACAATTCCTGCAGTGTTGCTATGAGCCAGACGCCGTTTCATGGAACATGGTGACAAAGGCTACAAATGTCTGTGTGCTTAGAAAAGAAACATACGAGGGATAACCGCCCCACCCCCCCCCACCCCCCCACCCCCGCCCCCAAACCCGGATTTTTAGTCAAAGCTATTTATTTATTTATTTTTACAAAACAACCTCATCACCTTCAGAGTACTCTCCATTATACTGAATGCATTTGTCAAATCTGCGATTCCATTCTTGGAAACGTTCTCAAACTCATCTGTTTGGATGGCTGACAGCATCTCCCTCATTGTTTTTCTTCACCTCTTCCACGTCCTCAAGTTGCTGTGCTTTCATGTCCCTTCGCATTCTCAGCAACAAAAAGAAGTCACATGGAGGGAGGGCCGGTGAGTAAGGTGTGGGGGGCAAGAGAGGCATGCTGGATTTTTATTTTGGGGGGTGGTGTTTGCCCCAAACTGGCACACTAGATGTCTGCATGAGCAGGTGCATTGTCGTGGTGGCAAAACCTGTCCCCCATCTGCCACAAATCAGACCTTTTTTGTTGTACACTGTTACACTATCTTTTCAGAACCACTAAATAGAAAGCTTGATTAACAGTCTGACCTGGTAGAATGAATTCCAAATGCACTGAGTCATCATTTTCATTCATTCAGGAAATTGAATGGCATCCAGAAGGAAGTTTGTCATAAATTGTCATTTCACCTCTTTTGGAAATGAAAAACCACTTGTACACTTGAGATGTTCCAATCGTGCTGTCCTTGTAAGCTGTTTTCAACACCACAACAGTTTCAGAGGCATTTTTTCCTAGCAGGAAACAGAATTTCACAGCCACATGCTGTTCTCTTAAATTAGCCATCACAGAAAACAAGATTCGAGCAAAACTGCTTGTATGAAAAAATTCACTGTGACTAGAGAGAACCTTCCCAGGCAGTGCCACTGAGTGCACTAACTCAGAGTTAGTTGCTTGATGCTCACCTACCAGGAAAAATGTGTAGTAAGAAAGCTCCACCCAGAGGAGATTTTTCTGTTTGGGGGTGGGGGTACCCTCTGGGGGGGGGGTGGTACCCCCTTGTATGATAACAGGTTTCAAGATGTTTGCTTAATTAAAGTCAAGATTCTTTCCAAATCTCAGATTAGGTCTCCTATTGTCCTGTAAGAAGGAAGGAGACTCTCGGGGCAATTCAGAAATGAGTGGTCCATCACGTGGGATGTAGGGGCAAAGGGTGGGGTGGGCAGGGGTGCTGCTGCTTAGGGTTCAAGAACACGGCTATCTATGTTATCAAGGTCATGCTGCTGGTCTGTTGGCTTGGAGAATGGGACTGGTACCCATGGCTGTAGCCCCAGTCCAGAATCCAGAGCGCTGGATCAGTGTCCGGGGGTCCCCACAAATAGAAGATTGTTTTGAAGTGTTGGCATCTAAGGATTCTGCTCTGTGGGGTTTGATCTTGCTTGACACTGATGACACCATCTGAGGTAGTTGGATGATTTCCTTTCAATCAGACTCTCCAGGTTAGGGATGGAGTCAAACCTGTCAATCAAGGGGTAGTTTGATGATGCCTTCTTGGGGGTGTGACCTTTTGCATGAGAATGAGGAACTGTAGGAACTGCCTTTCTCTCTGCCCCTCTGCCTTCTTTCCTGTTGGAGCCCTGCCTGCCTCAAGTGGTGGCCTGTATGGGCCACGTGACCCTAAGAGCTGTTGCCACTCTGCCATATTGCCACTGACCTTGGATCCATGTGACTTTGCACTCAGTGACCTGTGATATTCCTGCTTCCTGGTTCACAGTTTGCATCACTGACATGTGGCTATGTGAGTCTGAAGAGGGACTTATGGACTAACATCGGACATCGATGTGTGTTGGACTGGGCTGGGATGCCTTCTGATATAAAGCTCCTTCTTATACATAAATGAGTGTCTCTGGATTTGTTTCTCTAGACAAACCAGCTTAACACATTGCATTTCCTTCAATTTCTCCTTTTGGAATAGGAATGTCAATTTTATGACCACTTAACTCAGTGGTTCTCAACCTGTGAGTCGCGACCCCTTTGGAGGTCGAGCAAACCCTTTCACAGGAGTCGCCCAATTCATAACAGTAACAAAATTACAGTTATGAAGTAGCAATGAAAATAATTTTATGGTTGGGTGTCACCACATGAGGAACTGTAGTAAAGGGTCGCAGCATTAGGAAGGTTGAGAACCGCTAGCTTAACCACTTTACGATCTACTCCTTGGACATCATGATTTGAATTGCTTGGGCCACTTATATTTGGATTTTTGAAAAATGCCACGTTGAGGAAAGAGGGCAGCTCCCACGAGGGCTGCTCCCATGAGGGCGGTGGATGAGAGGGCAGCTCCCGCGAGGGAGGCGGCTCCTGCTCTGGCAGCCGGGTTCCCCCCACGATGACCACCAAGCAGGGCGGAGGTGAGCAATGCTACCATGTAATATGTCTGACTGTATTATTGTATTACCTCTTATGCTCTCGATGACTTTAATATAATGCTTATATATCTCAACCGTACAATTGTGCATTACTGAACCCAGAGGTAGTATTACTGAACCAGTGAGTTCTAGTAGCAGGTGGGGCTGGCATCCCACTCCCCTCTGCACCATTTTTAATTTAATACTACACCACGTGGTGGTAAATCATCTCTGTCTGAGTCCTTGGGCTGGTCTCTCCAGTCGCTTGTGTGTTGCAGTGAAAATAAGTGATCTCTTGGGGTTCTTTCATATTTTCATTGTGTTCAGTGCAATGATAATAACCTTGAAAGTACCCACATGAAGTTCCACTAGTGATGCCAGACGTGCTCCCATTTATGACTTGTTACCGGAAGAGGGACCATGCGAAGCACAGCATTCTCTGTAGTTATTTGAAGAGTGATGTTGCCACAGACGTTTCTAAGAAGTATTAAATGGGGAAAGTACAGAAGGCAAATGTTGCCATTTGTATAAATTTGAAGTGTGGTGATGGGATGTGCAGCGTATGGACTAGGATACAGATACAGACACAAATATAAAATGAGACAGAAAGGGAGTTGCCGTGGGTGCGAATCACTAGGCGAAGAGTGAAGGAGCAGGTGGACAGGAGGGTTGCTGTCACGGGATGCCTTTTGAACCCTTGGACAATCATAATGGTGCCCCTTGACTACCCTTTATTTTTCCTCGAAGGTATTATTCATTAGGTGGGTTTGACATTCAAGTCGTCCGATGTAACATGAAATGCCGAACCGAACCGACCGGTCTTAGGTTGTGGTGCTGTCAGTGCTCGCTGTCAGTAACAGAAAGGTCACATTGACTTCCCTTTGCACCAAAGGTTTGAAAACTCAGTTCCATTTCCGGAACCTTTTCTAAGAGCCATATTTAGATTTTAAGAAATATCTGCTACAGTAAGAGGAATCTTGCTGACTTTCACATGATTTCCCCCTCAAGTTAAAGCCGTGTGCAGCAGCTAGAGTCCATTAATTTAGCTTTGTTCAGCTTCACAGATGGATTTGGATATTCTTAGTTCCATTGTCTTGCTCACTGGACGAGAAAGGTGCCTCAAGGACAGAATCACTGTTATTTCTAGAACAGAAGAGTGGATGGTGGAGAAATGGATGAATCGGGGAGAGGATGGAGAATGGAAAGTGTGTCCTTCGGGGGCGATAATCATCCTTTTTGGGTGCCTGATTCTTGAGGCAGTATTATGTGGTTTCAAGTCCAATCAACTGGGTGGAGGTTGAGGTAAGGGCTGGAGGTTCCCTGTGTAGTTTTAGAGAGCGCCACTCATTTCATGTGGACGTTCGCTTATTCAATTGGCAATCACCTCTGTCAATCTCTGGCCATCTTCCAGAGCCACACTTTGATTAATCCTTATTTCTCATTCTTTCATTCCTATAAAATATCTCTAATTTCCTAATTTTAGAGCCAAGCCTGATGTTTACTGTCCTATTCTCTGTCTTTTAAAAAAAATTAATTTCTGGTTTCCATACTGTAGCATTTCTTCATTTTTAGGTCCTTTCCACCAAAAAATGTCACATTTTCTTTAGTTTCTTTCCAGTCCCAGAGGTAGACCTGGTAGGAGAGGACTTCAAAAAGTCCCTGGCTAGATGGAATGAGAAGATAATAGAATTCTTCTTTGAGGTCTTTGAACTCTCTCTTACAATAATTTAGCTGCAAAAGCACACAGTCATGTTAAATGAGTAAGCAAAATGTATTTGCTGAACTAATATAATGTGCTGTAATGGTGTGGGAGTTAAAACACATTAAGAATGAGGAGCCATCACACTGAGAGAGTTGGAACCACTGCTGATGGACAGGGAGATCAACAGAACACATCCAACTATGACAAGGGGCATTTATACTGCTTTTCAGCCATCAGGAGAGGTGAGACGTGGCTGTAAGAACCACTTTCTAGCACGTCAAACCCACCTCCATTTAAAGACAAAATGGAGAGGTGAGATGTGGCTGTAAGAACCACTTCCTAGCACGTCAAACCCACCTCCATTTAAAGACAAAATGATCCCAAGTTGTCACAGTACTTATACCTTCAGTAGAAACATCTACAACACCTCACGCATCAGCATCACGTACAATTTTTTTAAGATGAAAAGGGATAGCACTCTGTGTGTGGAGGGGAGCACCACCTCCGTGGCTATTCTTGTAATAGAATCTATTTTCTCCAATCGTGACATTGTTCAGTGAGTTTATATTTGCTAGAATCGAAAAGTATTCAAACTTACAAACAATAGAAAAGGTCTTAAGCTTCATTCTAGCTTAATATCCTACCTGCAACTTTTATGAATCATTTACACAATCAAATTGGGGCTTAATGGGCATTATCACTTACGTCATGTAGGTGAAAAATGTGCTAAGGGGCTCCAGGGAATGATTCCGAAAATATTCAAATTCTCCGCATAGCTTTGCCCTCATCTTGGTATCAATGATGGAAACAGTGAGGGGACCTGCTTGGTCTGCCAAGAAGTTGCCATAATCCGTGGTCTGGAGGTGGATTTTCAGATCTGAAATGAAATGAAATCACAAGTCAGGTTAAATTTTGAACATGCATTATAGCCCTTATGATATTAGTTGAATTTATGATACTTTTGCTAAACATATAATTATTATCTCATTAACCTTTAACGAGCCATTGCCATCAGGTTGAACTTTACGCCTAGTGACCTTACAAGGCAGAAAAACTCACGCCACCCACCAACTCTGACTCATCGTAATCCTGGAGGGGGGTCGAACTGCCCCTCTTCTGAGATTGTAACTCCGATGGGAGGAGAAAGTCCCCACTCCTCTTTTCCCCTTGGAGAGGCCCGTGGCTTCACATTCCTGACTTTGCATATAACCCACTATTTCACCAGGGCACCTTGTAGAAGGGAGTAAAACAAGATAGAAATAAGCCTTACAGTTCTGTGTATCAGTGGAAGGAAGCCATTCCATGAATCAGCGCAGATGTTTAAACACCTCACTGCCATCGAGTCAGTTTTGACACGTCATGACAGTCGGGCAGGGCATATTACAGTCTGAGACAGCAGTTCTTTATGAGAGTAGAAAGCCTAGGCCTCCATGAAGCAGCTGGTAGTTTCAAACTGCTGGCTGTGGTATTGAACCCACTAATCCCGGGTTCAATAAGGCACAATTGTACGGTCGAGATATAGAAGTATTATATTAAAGTCATCGAGAGCATGAGAGATAGAAGAGAAGAGATAGAAGAGAAACTCCATTACTCAAGTAATGGAGTCAGACACATTTCATGGTAGCATGTTCACCTCAGCCTCCCTTGGTGGTCCACGTGGAGAGAGGGGGAAGGGGAGGAGGACAAGGGGAAAGGGAACAGGGGAGGAGAGGGAGCAGAGGAGAGGTTAAGGGAGGAGCCGAGAGAGGGCGAGAGGGAGAGAGAGCCCTCTATTGCTAACCCAGGCCTATATACCCTTTGGGGCATGCAAGCCCATTAATTACAGGTAAAGACATACGTCACAGGAAGGGGTTGCACTATAGGTTATAGAGTAATGGAAGGGGATGGTCTAGGGACATACAGGCAATAGGAAAAGGAAGGATTGGGGGTATACATGTGACAAGATGGGCAGATCCTAAAGTCAGGATGGCAGCTGGATCTCCATAGGAACCATTAGATAGTAGGGTGTGAACCCCAACTACAGGAACCAAATAGATGACTGCAGGCCTGTCCATTTTCCTTAACAGCAGGGAGGGGGAGGCACTGCAGTCTGGCAACTGATTGCCCTCAGGGGGGGTGCCTGTAAGCATCTACCCTCCCCCCACAGCTGGCCTTGTGGCTTGCAGCCCGAGTCACCCTCTACACCACCTGGGTTTCTGGTCTGGATAGAGTGTATGAACGGAGCTCTGGTGGCACAGTGATTAAGCAGGTGGCTGCTAACTGAATCCATCTGTAGCTCCCAGGGAGCAGTGACCTGGTGACCTGCTCCAGTAAAGATGACAGCTCAGGATACCCTACGTGACAGCTCGACTCTGTCCCATTGGGTTGCTGGGCCTGCACTGAAATTTACTTGATGGAACACAGCAGCATGGTATGTGCGAGGAGCTCAGAGCAAGTCCATGTTCTGAAGCTTACGTGTGAGCAGAGAGAGTCGAGCTATGGCGATAGGCAGGGTTTGGATTTGGCACGAATCCAGGAGCTGGATTCGTGCTGAAACGAGGAGCCATCAGCTCAAACTGACCGCCATGTATGTAATCAAGGCTGACTCGCAGCCACCCTGCCCGACAGTAGCAGTGCTCTGTGGGTTTCTGAGCCGGTTACTCCTTACACGAGGAGAAGCTTCATCTGTCTTCCACAAGCAACTACTATGGGGTACATATAATTAATTGATTGTTCTGATAGTTGGAGGGCAGAGGTTGGACACAGACGGGGAAAGTAGGCCTGCAATTAGGCACAAAGTGGTCAAGAGGTGATCTGGGCTTTCTTCCACCCATCTGCAGAATTTATTTACGTTACCTATGTAATTACCATAAAAGAGACCCCTGTCTTGCCATCTCTTGTTTGGCTTTTACTTTGGTAGTGCAGGGTATTATGCAATGTGAGGCTTTGCATTCTCAGCACCAAGGGCATCTGCCAACAGAAGGGACACGTGGTACTTCCTTTAAACCTGTGGTTTTCTGCTCACGTCATCTGTCCTACTCGTAAGTGGAACACGCATCCAAACCTCTCAGCTGCCCGTGAGATCCTGACTTGAGCCACCCTGAGGGTGACAGAGCCTGGAGGCTTCTTGCAAATACTTCAGTTGGCGGAGAGGCAGATAGGAAAGGGGAGGGAAATCCCTTTTCTTCAACTAGAAATTGAGTCCGAAGGGACACTTGCCTTTAGAGTCTAAAAACCAAGCCAAACCGTTGATTCAGACAGGTTTCCTCTGAGGTGGTATTCCTGTTGAGCCAATTCCAATTCATGGTGACCCGGTGTACGTCAGGGCAAACACCAACCCCACAGGGTTGCCAAGGACTCTCCTCTAAGTTTTTCTATTTGGGAAAATCTCTCTTTCTGAAATGCTTTCTTGGTGTCTCCATGACCCAATGTCACAGTATTTGTTACTGTTGTTAGCTTTCATACAGGGTACAATGGAAGGGACTATCAGGTCTTATCACTGTGCAGAGATCAGTGAAAAGTCTCATCAGTAGTTATCAAACCAGACTCTCTCTGCTGAATTGACCACTATTCTGATGGTGTTGAAATGGCAGCATCCTCTTTGGTGCGACAATGCTCTACACGCCCTGAGTTGTGTGTGTGAAATGTATACACGTTTCATCTAACAAAAAGTTGGCCATTTTAACCATATTACTGTTTACACCTGCATGAATTAGATTCACTACATTGTACAGCCATCATCATACCACTATTTGTTTTAAAAAAGCCTTCATTACCCCAAACAGAAAACCAGTCCCCTTTAAGCACTAACCCATCACACCCCTCCCCCCGCATTCATTGTGCAGCTTTTACTTGCAGAGGAAGCAGTTGAAAACATCACCGTTGGGTCTTGGGCACCTTAGTGGGCGAAGTGGCCTCTTTGCCCTTCACTGTGTTCCAGAGCAGCAGTCTTGCCTAATGCGTCATTTGATTTCTCGACTGCAGCTTCCATGAGCACTGATTGTGAATCCAAGTGAAATGGCATCTTTTTCAAATTCAGTCTCTTCTCTGTGTCTCACTGATTGGCTCAGTTGGTGACGTTAGTGCTGACGTGTGGCCCTTCCTCTCGAGGCCCCAGGGGGATCTGAGTTCCATCAGGCTGGTTAACCCGGGTAAGCGTGTTGACGCTGACACATTTAGAGAGGAGGCAAGGGTTGGGCAGCACTTGCTCCTTCAGCACCATGGCTGTAGGCCACCTCTCTGTGGCCTTTTATCCTTAGAGCCTTTCTCAGCAGGAGTAAGTCTGGGTGGAGAAGCCGAGCTCAGCGTCAGTATTTCTAAGACAAAGCAAACCAAGCTTGTGTCTGTGAAAATGGTGGAAACAGCAGGGCAGGGTTAGGTTATACAAGCAGCCTGAGGAGCTAGAACAAGTCATCAGAGCAGGAGAGGCTGAAGAAGGGGTAGGTAGGCGGCTCTCCTTTGACTACGGAATCATTTGAGACAAGGGCATAAGAGCGAAGGGTGCCTGAAAATACTTTTCAGTATTGGACAAGGATATATTAGTGATCACTATTTGGACAGGAGGCCAATATAGCTTTGATTCTTTTCCTTAAAATGTCAGATCTGGAGGAGAGTTTTTGCAGAGCGATGACTATCTAGCCCCATAGGGTTGTCAAGGATCCTTCAGAAGTAGAATGTCAGGCCTTGCTCCCCAGGCACCTCTGGCTGGACCTGAACCACTAACCTCTCAGTAACTAAGTGCTACTCACTTGCTTTGCACAGGAGCTCCTGGGATTGGCCATGCCCCCTTTTAAACTAAGAGCAAAGTGAATGATGGGAGTCCTTGAAGTGTTTTTGAACAAGAAAGTGACAAAACTGGATTTGCATTCTTACCACAAGGCAGTCAAAATCTAAGGGTTATAAGTAGAGGAATAAATAGTGACTAAGGGAACAGAGAGGAAAGCTCCTGGAAACGAGAGTCTTTGTCCTTTTTTCTTTTGCTTTTAAAATAGTAAGATACAGTTCCAAAAACTATGGATGATAGTGGTAGCTCAAAATTCATTTTCAGGGTCATTACACGGGATGAATCCCCAGTAGACAGTAGCCCCCAAATCAGAAAGTGAGCATCGTGAAGGGACGTTTCAGCAACTGTGCTCAGACCAGAATGTAATGTCTTATCATTTCACCTCCTTTTGGACCCAATGTGGATTTATTCTAAACTTTTAATATTCTCTGCTTCTATGAGATTGAGGTCTCTATCGTGTTTCATATGGCCATTGTTGATGGGTCCTTGCTTGGGACCTATATTGTTACCTGTGTAGGGAAACTGGGAATGACGGAAGTACAAATATAGTAAGGGGATAGATCCCCCTGAGGACATGGGGGATCAACATCAACCTGTAAAATAAGGGGGGGATGTCTCAAAGTTGATCAGGATGATGTTTGCAGAGCCCTCCTTGATACGACTGGACCGTCGAATAACATGATATTAATTATAACTTAAAAAGAAAAAATTCTTGTCTTTCTTCTTCTATTCATCACCCACAGACCTGCCCAATGTAGTCCCTGAGGAGGGTGGGTGGTGAAGCGCTCTACCACATCCTTGACATTTGATAGTTTAAACCCACACAGAAGGGCCTCATAAGAATGGCTCTTAGCAATCTGCTGGAAGTCCCCAAGGAGCAGGTCTCCTCCACACACGGAGTCTCCAAGCATCAGCTGGACAGATGGAAACCAACCGTGACCACAGCCCACCCAACAGCCACAGCCTCTCGCTTCTCCCCTTAGGCAACCATGAAAGTCAGGTTCTTTTGAAATCTTTCACTGTTCTTTCTAGCTAGACAAGCATCCAGAAAGGATTTCTTATCTACTCCCTCTTAATATTATCCCTTAATATAGCGTGGTGATAGTATCCTAGTA